AGCGATCCTCCCACCTCAGCTTCCCAAGTAGCTGGGACTACAGGCCCAGATACGGAGTTTCACAATGTTCTCCAGGCTGGTCTTGAACTCCTGGGCTCAAGTGATCCACGTGCATTGGTCTCCCAAAGCGCTGGGATTACTGGCCTGAGCCAACGGGTATGGCAGAAATGGCTTTTTAAAGACAGTTCTGTAGAAGGTGAAGTCAAATAAATATGTAAAATTAAAAATACATCGGTAAGTTATATTAAACTGGCACACAATAACGTTGCTCTAAAAAAAGATGTCAGCATCTTATTTAGGGATATGCCATCTGAAAACATCAGTTAGGAAGCTCATTGTAAAATGTAAAGATTTAAAAGCAGTACAATGAAGTGGTTCGGAGCTAGGAGTTTGGAATTGTAAAGAGACATTTTAAAATCTTGGCTCTGCCAGTAACTAATTATGTGACCTTGTATAGATTACTTCATCTCTATAATTTCTTTACAAAAATGAGAATGATACTACACAGGATTGTCATGATGATTGAATGTATTTGTGAGTTCAAGGTGCCCAAATGAATGTCTGGCACACAAGTGCTCAATTAATGGTAGGTGTTATTTTTTAAAATATAAGATACTCTTGTTACCATATCCAGTATTACAGATACTGTGTTGAATGCTAATCCAATTTTGTATACTTTGTTACATTTCCTGTAATCAGTTAACTTAATATGTGACCCTTAATATAAAGACCCTCCCCACCCAACCTGCCATATGCACAGAGGAGAAAGTAGAGGCAAGATAGTGGTTCTGTATCTCAGACTTTGGAGCAATGTTTGTTATAAGAGAGTGCAGTTGTATCAGTTATTTATTGTGATGCATCAAGTTACCTGAAAACTTAGTGAGTAAAATAACAAATTATTATCTTTCAAAGTTCCGCTGGTGGACTGAGTTCAACTGTGTAGTTCTTAACTCGAGTTTCTGGTTCAGTGCAGTCAGATGGAGGCTGCGGCTGGGGTCATCTGAAAGCTCAGCGGGGCTAGTCATCCAGGGCAGTTTCTTCCCTCAGATGTCTGGTGCCTCAATACTTCTTGGCCTCTTTCTCCCTCTCCATGTGACACTTTTACTATCTTCATGTGGCTTGGCCTTCCCATCCTGTGGTGGTCTCAGTGTAGGAGCATTTCTTCCATGGCAACTGGTTTCTAAGAGATGGAAAGCAGGAACTGCCAGGTCAGTTAAGGGATATACCTACTACTTGTCCAGTGTCACTTCTGCTATATTCCTGATCTAAGCAGTCATAGGGCCTACTTAGGTGAAATGGGGTACAAAGATAGACATACCACTGTTTGATGTGAGAGTGACAAGGTCACACTGCAGATAAATGTAGGCTGAGGGGTATTTTTGTGGCCATTTTTGGAAAGTACAATCTGCCATAGCAGTAAACACAGGGGCAACGAACAAGGGGCTTCACTTTGCAGCTCCTCTGATCTGTTTTATTACAAAGAAAAAAAAATCCTTTTAAAGTAAGATGTCAAGATTGATAAATCAATAACCCAGTCCTGTCAACCTTATTATTGAAAAACTTCAGGCAAATTAAATATGGTTCTATGCTATAGTGCACTTAAATGAGAATTCTGCTTGGTGTGTAAAAAGATGGCATGAAAATAGCTCAAATAAACATAACAAAATGTAATCCACAAATTTTTAAAGTTGAAAACATTCTTATATTTCTATAACGATGCACCATATAAAACTTTTCTGGGCTTTGGGTGTTTTACTTTATTGAATGATAAATTGACGCTACCCATCGTTTTATTCCTAGTAGTATTTATTATTACAATAATGCTGACTTTTAAAATTAGATACTTTTGAACAACAAATACATGTAATTCTCATTTAAAACAATAATTTATGGTGCGTGGAGTTTATCCTATTAAAACTTGTCATTGATTTTTGCAATGTAGATTTAGCATGCAGAGGATTTAAAAAATGCTGATGTGGTAGAAAAAACAGAAGGGTAGTGAAAAAAGCGAGATTTTAATTCCATAATTGTGTTAGCATTGTAAAGCATATTTAAATAACAGTTAAAAGAGAATAAGTACATCTGTTATAAGTCCCTTAAATTTAGTCAATTAAGAAGCTTCTCAAAATGTGATTATTTTAAGAATGGGCACAAAAGAATTGATATTGTTTTCACAATTCCATGAGCCCTTCAACTTTCTTCTAAATACTGCTCAATCCTTGTATTTACCTTTAAAATAAATATCGTAAAGGTCATCATTTTTTCTATT